TTAGTGGCCAAGATATTTAATGTATCAATCACTTTCTGAGAAAATTCATCCACAGATTGCTATGGGCTCTTTCCCAGAGCGCATACCACTTGAGAAATTTCTCTCTCAAGTATGTGGAGAATGGTTTTCTCCACGTCTTCTAAAAGTGTGTGAGCAAGCGCTCATAGGTAACGATCATCCACGACCGGCTTTTTAGTCGACCTAAGATCACCGTATTGCCGTCTCTTTGCAACCGGTTTCTTTTCTCCTGTATTCTGCCTTCCCGGCATGCATACACGTCCTAGTCCACTCGACTTATTCGAGTGGTGAACCTTTGTATCCGCCTATTAACTTGCTTTGTCGCCGGGAGCTTTCTTCTGTAGTAATCATCTACACTGAAGTATTGTAAAGTCGTGCTAACGACTGTTCCGCAAGTGAGGCCATCGCACGCACTCGCAGTACACACACACGTTTGTGGGTGTGCCAAGACGTTCGTCTAATGGCTACATGATGGACAAGTGTCAGGCATCTTGACGGATCGATGCTGCCAGCTCACCCTTGGCTAGTATCTTCTGAGCCAAGGCAATCCTAGGATGACGTCAAACCTGTCATCCAGGTCGAGTACGATGAAGTCATCATCGCACTGTTCGCCCTCTAACGTGTAGTGGATTCCGAATGCACGTTACTTCAACGTTATCGATGCACCTGTCTCTAAGCGCACCGTCATTCTCGATGGAGGGATCTATCGCTCAATGAAGGTAAGTGTTCCAGCCTCTAGTGACTAGCGACGAAGAAAGTTGTTGGACGCCCCACAGTCAACTGGGGTGAGAAGTGGCAAGTTCTCTGTCACTTCCAACGTCAATGTGGTGAGTTTTCCCTCATCACCAGGTGCAGGGACACACAATGATTGTGTGTCTGGATCAACCTTCGTCAAGACGTTTGCAAATTCTCTTGATGTTGCTAGATCAGTAGGGCGCTACGCCCCTACTGACACCAACCATTTTTTGATGGTCCGCTTACTTGTCGCGGCTTTGCAACAGCATCAGACCCTCGTCCTCCGGTTCTTTTAACTGGTGGAATGTTACTGCGCTCCGCAACAAGGGATGCTGAGCGGAAGATACTGCATTCGTATGCATAGTGTCCCAGCTTATGACAGCGATGGCATCTCACCATTTGCTTGTCATTCACAAGGCGAGGTTTCTCGCCCTCAGCATGAAAGAGGTCCATTGGTTCTGGACCTCCGACCGCCGATCGTCTTTGTGGACGATAGGGGGTAAGAGTAGTGTGGGCCTGTCTCACACTAAATTCTTTCTGCTCCTTAGCGTAGATCGCTTCGGAGAGAGTCTTTAGCTCTCCACGTAATAGGTGGTCCCTGACAGGACCATCTGCAAGCCCCTGAATGGATGTTGTGATTAGCACGAATTCACTCACAGGGTTTGCTACCATGCAACTTGCAAGGTAAACGCGCATGTTAGGCGTAAGCGCGAACTTTACGCTTACCCCTGTTTGATCTCAAAAAGTTCAGGGAGAGTCCTGAATTCTGCCTTGGGCGACTCCAACGTCTTGCTCAGCAGGGTCTCGAGCATACTTAACGACTCGAACACGTTCGGTCGTGCAACTTAAGATTCAGAGCCCGATTCCTGGCGTCCTATGCCAAGTAAGACTGAGCGAATGCGACTTGCATTCTCTCGTTGTCGATGCAACGGGCCTCGATGGCACCGTCGACCTCGACGAATCATCTCAACAGAGAATCTTCCTCGATTCCCCAATACTTGGATATCTCTAACTTTATAGACTCCTGTCGACGCTCACGCGTCGCGCTTGCGGACTGAGACTGATGCTGTTTCAGTTCTTCCGCCCGCTATTGATCTTGTTCTTGCAACAAGGTCACCTGCGCTCGCGACTTGTCAAGTTATCGCTACAAGAACTTGCTGATGACGGAACGCTGCTGGTCTCTATCCCTTGTTGATAGCATGCCTAGACAGCTTCTTCACCAATGGTCGAACTCATTCGTTCGATCGCAATCCATTCGACATCGCTCAAATTGGAGTAGCTTCCACGGGCTCCTTAAAATCTGCCGCCTTCTTCATCGTCCACATGTTCATGTGGGGCGATGATCTTGTGGTCCTTGGACGGACTACAAAGTGCTACCAGGTGTAACGAGCACCGGTAACTACGTACTGGACTACCAGTACGGAGCTAACTATTATTGACAACAGTGAAGGTCAGTGCCCTGCTACCTCGAAACACTACTTAGATGAAAGGTAAACGACTAAGGTAAAGACTCTAGTCGTAGGAAAGTAAAACTGTATTATAATATAAATAAGGTCTTATAAAACCCTTTGTCTAAATGGTACTATATTGACTATATCAATTGAACTAAATGTATGATGACATCCACTCACAACCCATTGCGCGCGTCTAGCAGCGATTGGTGGATTGATATCATCACGATATCAACCAATGAGTAAACTCTTCGGTCATCTCAACAATATCACTGTACTTAGTGATATTATTGAAAATAATATTTAGCGTCGTATTCTTTATTGCCGTTTTCTCACAATGGTAATTTCATGTACGGGCTACCCCGTGACAGATATCTCCATATGTTTGAATGCGAAGAGCGGCCATGATGGGCTGTGACATATCCGAAGACAATAGCAACCCACTCCACATCGTCCGATGGTCATTACAACCCTGACATGCGCCAGTCCTTCAAGATGGTCGACAAGCCCAAATTATACTTCTCGATGTAGCGTAAGAGGTAGTGTGTCACACTAGGCCATACATAAGGTATTTCCCATAGTATAAAATGCGTCTCGCCATACAAAACAAAAGACCACATATCGATCTAACGTAAACGATATCGCCTTGGGCGATTTCTTCGCGACGCGCGTGGAATTGCATTTGTGCGCACACATGTTGTAGACCGATGTTATGTCTGTAGAACGATGTCATGTCTGTAGATACGGTGCACACTGCAGACACGGTCAGTCGAGGATAAAAGAGGTACGACGATCGGATATGACGCGATCGAACACATTCCAAACAACCTCGGACGCTGGCCACATGAAACTTGCGTACGACACAGCAAACGAAAACTAGGATGAACTTGCTATAATCTTAGTAAGCGGTAGCAACATGTACTTTGGCGCAAATTGACAATCTCTCTGGTCAAGTCACTTTGATCAAAAACAGGCGAATTTGGTTGATGTGTATCAACAGCAGTGCACTACATCCGGTAGCCCACCTTTTGTAAAGATGACCCACCATTCACCAAACCTATACAAGTATGTCGTCTGGCTGGCTCTCGTCGTAAATCCCTCGATTCAGGGAGTGGAGAGCCCGTACCTCAAATTTACTTCGATCGGGGGCTTGCTTGCATCTCGACGAGAACTTCTTTGCATCATGCGACCGAACGAGACGAAATCAGACCTTTTTTGCTGCGGTGGTTAATAGAGTGTAGATTGATGTTTGCATGAAGACGCTTACCGGCTTGTTGATGCTTTACTGTGCGCCACTAGCTTGTGGTTCTAGATGCTGGTTGGCAGATAGAGTAATGGGGAGCCTACTGTATTGTCATGCAGTCATTCAGGTTAAATCTTTCATGCATAATGTGCACTTTCAGAGCTCATTGTCTAGCATATAATGCATTTGCTGCTACGCGCGGGACTGTCACGCGCTTCCTTTCTCATTGACGTGCTGAGAGCTTGAGCATATCGAGCGTGACCGCCTTCCGAAGTCTTTCGATCGGTGGAAAATATAAGGATTGCGGTGCTAACTTGCACCGAACATTTCCACGAACTTGTAATTTTTGCTCTATCACTTCCACGCGCACTACATCACAGGGAAAAGAACGTAAGATGAAGAGAGCGATAAAGGCGCAGACCACCACCAGCACGGATATGACGAGTTTCAAAGTGGCACGACGAGGATAGCATCGGTAAGAAGCAGACACTAGCCGTCAACGAACGACTAGATGGAGACTCTGCAATGGCTATGAATGCATAAGTTTCGTTTGTCGATGAACGTTGGACGTCCTCGATCAACTTCTTCGCTGTTTTCAAGGCTGAGATAGAGTGTAGCAAGCGTCCTACGTATCCAAAGATATTCGATGGACACTGATCGAGCTACCCTACTTCTCGTAGAGACCGATGGCACGTCTAGTGAAGGAAGTGCGACCAAGGTGCCATGAGGCCGTCGCTGAATGTGTCCGAGTACGACGGGCGACTGCTGCAAGAAGAGCTATCACCTGGATACTGTACTGCGTCGAAACGTAGCATCAACGAAGCTATTCGAGACGGACCGTGGTGGGATCACGTCTTCACGTCAAGACGTACAGCTGTCTTCAGCGCCAGAAATTGATCGATCGATAGTCCTGGCGGTACTTCCACACGCACGTAAGCACATGGCTGCAACCCATCCACAACGGGGCGACATATACGCGACAAGTTGAGCTTGAGACGCCATGTGATGATGAGTGCGAGAAAAATGAAAGCGCACAATATATGAGGGAAGAAAAGAAGCGGTTGTTGTTTTCGAGATAGACATGTGATACAAACATAGCGTGAAGAAGTCCGTACGTGCTGCGTGAGACTCAGAGCTCAGGAGACCACGAGCTAAGATAGCAAACAGTCTGCGGGTGATACTGTTTTTGCTTGTCATAGACCGCCGACGTCTACAAGCGCCGATTGCGATGCACAAGAACACCATAAGACATTTGCAAGACAATGAGCAAAGGGTGTAAAGTGGTCGTGTTAAGAGAGAAGAAGAAGAAGAAGAAGAAGAAGCGCTGGTATGTAAAGCTGGTCGGGGTCGTTGGTACTTTATGAGCTACTTACTGCCTACTGCAAACCTCGGCATCAAACTGAAGTGTTGCGTTGTGTGTCGTATCGACCGACACTAGTACTTCGGTCCGCACAGCATATTTACACAGACACACACATACCCCCGACTGACGACAACCGTGAACTTATCACAAACCGTCCACAGTAAACAGCAGCAGCCCTCGATCAGGATATCTAACTCCGACGACGGACGCATCTTGCGCCTGTGCTCACTTCGGACGTGCTTGGAGCCTCAACAACAGGAGTCTCGACCGTAGGAGTCTCGACAACAGGAGTCTCGACAGCAGGAGTCTCGACATCAGGAGTCTCGACATCAGGAGTCTCGACATCAGGAGTCTCGACGGTTGGACTCGCGTCCTCGTCCGAAGCAGCTTCGTCAACCGGAGTTTCGACGGCAGGAGGTTCAACGGCAGGCGTGTCTTCCTGCTCTGTTGCGGCAGAAGGCGTTGCGGTTGGAGCGTCGTCAACCGCGTCCTCGTCCTCCTTGTCCGAAGCAGCGGTGCTGGCCGTTTGCTCTTCCGAGTCGGCAGTATCTGCGCTGCCGGCCGTGCTCGACGGACTCGCAGGTGTCGGCGCACTTGCGTCAGCGGTCGTTGCATTGGACGCCGAAGCTGCTTTGGCTTTGCCCTTCCCGCCAGTCACTGCAGCCGGCGGCGACCCAATGCCCTTACCGCCTTTGAGCCACATGCAGTGGGTGTAGACCTGCCACGGGTCGCCGTGCACGCCGATCCAGTAGATGGTCATCCGGTTGGCCTTGGCGCACTTGGCCTTGTCGTAGGGCATTGTCGTTGGCTGGCCCGGGTACGTCGTCTGGCAGTCGCTGTCGTAGAGCACTTTGGTGTCGTCGCACCAGACTTCGCACGGTCCCGGGTGGGTGAACCCCGTGTACGTGAGCTCCGTGGCCGGCAGCTCAGAGCGCGCCGATTCTTTAAAGACCGTCAAGCCGCATTGAGGATCAACCTTTGGCAGGTAGAGCTCCTGGTTTTCCATAATGAACGCCCCGAGCGACTTGTAGCCCTTGGTGGGGAACGTCTCGGTAAAGAACTTGAGCGTCCCGTTCGGGCCGTAGCCATACTTTGCATTGTCGTAGACGCCCCAAATCTCATTGTCGATCGTGCTGCCGTAGCCATTGTTCGGGTAGCCCTCGACCCACTGCGACGCAGGATGGGACATGTACCCGTGGCCGTGCACAGAGGAGGGCAGGAACGCCACGACAAGGGCCCCTGTCGCGAAGAGCGCAAGCGGTTGCATGGTGTTTGACTGCGCTACGACGTCGGTACGTGATCTCGGATTGCTACTGCAAATGTGAGAATGAACGGGGAAGGAGGAGGGCAAGACAGAGTGCAGTGGCCGCTTTTTCGCGATCGTCGTGCCGTTGTCGACGATGCAGCACCGGATGGGTGTTGCCCTCAAGCTGGTAGGTAGGAAGGGAGGCAGGCAGGCAGGCAGGCAGCAAGAAGGGCAGCAGCTCGGCGAAAAAGTTGAGACACGTCCAAGCATCATGCACGCGAGCAGAGACATAGGACGAGCCCGGTGCAAAGCTCGGGGAGCAATGAACCCCGACCGAGTCGCTCGTGTGCTTGTGCCGTGCAGGTTTCTGTGCGGCCAGCCGGTGTCGCAGAACAAGTGGCCTCCCGCCACCTGTCTCGACGACACTTTTCTCGCTCTCTTTTGCTCTGCAGTGGCTCACTTGGGTCCATGTTTGTCCGAGTGGCTCCGGTACGACCTCGCGACGGAAGTCGACCCTGGCTTCGTTCAGCCGGGCACAGGATGCGTGAGTTTGTCGGTCGGCAGAGCTGTCATTGATTTGCACACACATGGGGTTACCCGCTTCGAACAGACGACAAGACATCGTGCGGTGCGTCGGGGGTAAGCGGTTGCGACAAGAGCGGCAATGGGGAGGAAGGAAAAAGACGCGTCTTTCAGAAGGAGAATGCAGCATCGAATGGTGTGCTCTAAAGTTGGTCGCAACAATGCACGTGAGCGCACGCTGGACGGCCATGTCGCGTAAGTTGTAGGCTTTGTCCTGTCCATTAAAAGTCCAATTAGGATGGCCATCTTCGAGTTCCGAAGTTTGGAACGCGTGCGTGCTCAGCTTCAGGCACTAACAGAGTCCTAGCAAGCCATGATGTAGTCTTGTGCTAGCACCTTTGGCACCGAGCTGAGGCGAAGACAGCTGTTGTCCTAGCAACTGGACCAAAGTGATCGATGATGTTTGCAGGGCGATTGAACACGGAGTTCGTAAAGGAGGACTCGAGGGCACTTGTATGACTACAGAGGGGACTCGAGGACGCCAATTTCGGTGGTATCACACACACACGATTGAGTCTAGAGTTCAATGTTCCACTTACGTGCGTCACTTGCGTCTTCGCGGATCAAAAGAGGCATTGAATGTCGTTCCTCGAGTTATTAAACCACAGGTTTGTGCTTTGCTTCCCACGGAGTCGCGTTGAAACGTCGTCTTTTGTTTGCCGGTCAACTGCAATGACCGTCTCAGATTGGTTGGGACAGAGCGCTTTTTGTCGCGGCTGAGCCTGAGAAAAGAGCAAGTGGTGCAGCGATCATACCGGTATAACCTGCTGCAAGACATGTCCGGCAGTCGAGAAGAGAGGCTCGGTATTTGCGCAGAAAAAGGTGAGCGATATGAGGGAGACCATTTCTCGTCACAAAAATAGAGCCGCTTTCCACGTTTCTTCTGTGAAGAATTGACCCTGTCATACAGAATGTCGGTCAAGTCAAGTCGACAAGACACGAAAGCCATCACCGAGCAGTTAACGACGCGGTGGTTCTACATCCTGTCAAGTTACAAAATGAACTAACGCAACTGTGTCACAATTCCAGTTGTTTCCTGTCAAGAGAGACCCTAACGAACGAACATGGCGAAGCTCTTTGAGAGAACCCCCCGCAACACTCGGTGCGTTGTCGATGCCACGTTCTTTCCATCCATCCATCCATCTATCTATCTATCTATCTATCTATCTATCCATCTATCCATCCATCTATCTATCTATCTATCTATATATGCCTCATTCGTACCATACAATGTCTTTGGATTGAAGGATTGCGTCGTGGGCGATGGCACTCGGTCTGTGCGCGGCCTGGTACAAGTACGACGAGTGGAAGGAGCGCCAGTTTACCGACAAGGACGCCACCCAATGGAATGCAGCCATTTTACGCATGCACCCACAGAAGCCGCGCAAGGAGAAAAGGGATGAGAAGATGAAGAAGAAGGAGAAGGAGGGGGAGAAAGTAGAGCAGCACGATGAAGAGTAAACGAGGTAAATAACGGGAGTTGAGAAGGCTCGAGAAAATGTCACAGAAGTCCGTTCGCGGGGTCATCTCCTTTCTCAGCTCGTTTTCCGTGTCCGGTCCCACAAGCCCAACGCTCCTCTGCCCAGGTCGAGCACAGTCATTTGTGAACGAGTCCAGAGCTAAAGACAATGGCAACACCGTTTGAGAACCCGAGCAAGATTGCAAACACTGTGAAGAGCGGCAAGTGGACGTACGTTGTCATTGAGTGTCGTTTCACGGGGTAGTAAGTGGCAATGCGTTGTAAGGCTAAATGAGGTGCTACTGGAATGGAACAGAACGCCTATGCTCGTGGCTGCAGGAGTCGGAGCGGCGGCGTGGTACATGGCGTCGAAACGCGACTATAAGCCGCCATCACCTGACCGTGACCCGCGCGCCCCGCCGTCCAAGATGAAGTAGTTGCGGCACAAGAGGCTGGGAGGCCATGTGCGTTGCCAACGAAGAGGACGATGACGAGTGGAAGCGGATTGCTCACTTAAAATTCAGTTGAATCGATTATCTTTTGTGTGAAAGCGAGTGTGTTGGCGTTGTACTGGCAGTCGCTTGCGTCTGGACTAGCACAACTACTGCAACGACATTCAGTGTGGTTGATACTGCAACTACAGAAAGCAGTGTTGGAAGTCTTTGATGTCTGTTGTCGAAAAGTGGTGGACACCGTACCTTGTTTGGTAACAAGGACCTGCCTGTTTGCGAGTGACGGTGTTACAACCGGCGCCTGTTGTAACTTGCTCCACCCTAACGTCCGAGCCACGTGCCTCTCAGCCACTGTTTTCATTTCTAATTGCCTGCTGCCTTTCTATCGCGCGCACGGCGCTGCGCGCGTGTCGCACCGATCGTTTCTCGTGTCAAACGTCGCACGCGGCGTTCGTGCCATCGAAACGCGCTCCTGTCGGATTTCGACGAATCACGTCGCGGGACGGTGTACCCATGTGCTGCCGGCCGCCATTCCGGGTCCCGACCTTCGCCAATATGCCGCGCGGAGACCGCGTGCCGCCGCTCTCTGTCGTCGTCGCTGCTGTCGCCGTCTTCGTCGCCCGCACGGCAACTGTCTCGGCGCGCACGGACATTGCCGCGCAGCTGTACGGGAACTCGGCCATCACGCGGCCCGCCACGCCGTCGCGTCTCAACGCTGCGCTCGAAGACCTCGTGGGCTCTGTGGCGAACTTTACGCAGCTGCCGTTCAACGTCCAGCGCGCGCTGTTGTGGAGCGCCGGATGGGTTCCCATCGTGTCGGCGTCGCCCGTTCTGTCGATGACGACGACGACGACGACGATGTCCACTGAAGCCGCGTCCAAAGTCGTCTACGTCCAAGTGTACGTCCTCTGTGGCCGCACAATGAGTGACGTGTTCCAGTCGCCGCAAGCGTTCGACAACACGAGCGAGTGCGAACTCAAGAACTGCAAGAGCAACGTGATCAGCTACACGCTGTCGAGCTGTGACACGCGCTACGTCGAGTCGAAGACGCTGTGTGCCTTGAGCCGCGACGAAGTGGCCGCCAGTTTCGAGTCCATGTCGTCCAAAGCCGGCCCCATGTGGGCCATGGACGGACAAGTGGATGACACGTTTGAGCCGCAGCTGTTCCAGTACGCGAACGACTCGAAGCGTGTTGATGGGGATGGCCCACCGACGCTGTATTTACTGGCGCAGAAAGACTCGTGGACAATGGACGACACAACGTGTCCAAATGGCGCGCAGTTTATCGCGCCGTGTCGCGCTGTGCCTGCGGCAGCGGTTGACGACAATGTCCAAGAGCGGACGTGGTGTGAGCCCGAGATTGAGCTTGGCGTGAAGCTCTGGGTGAACAAGGCATCTGCTGCGACGGAAGCAAAAGACGGCGTCTTGAACTCGCCAGCGAGCGTGTCGTCGACGATTGCAGTCGTGTTGGGTTTGTGTCTGGGTGTGTGCGTTGTCGCGAGCGTGCTGTTTCTTGTCATGTGGCGTCGGGCCAAGAGCTGGTCGAAAAACGGTCTGCATGAGAATGAGAACAATACGTTTTTCGTGCAAGCGCACTCGTTCCAGAGTGAGCTGCCCCCACTCGACGAGAATCGAGGTCGAGCAAGGTCCAGACACTGTGCTCCGAATGACGAACTTTGCCCGTCGCTTAGCACTGTACTGCAGGTTGAAGCCGTCAATGAGAGCTTTCGGATGCGATCGCCAGAGCTCGCATCTTTCTGTGATGACCAGGAGCTCATGCTCAAGCGTATCGCTTTTGCCGGTCTTGTTTACCGAGAACGAATAGCAAGCGGCCTGCACGGTGAGGTCTGGCGCGGCGAGTACGAAGGACAGCAGGTTGCTATCAAGCGCACCATTGCATCGGTTGCTGCGATCACTGCAGCTGCAAATGCCAGTCAAGGGTCGTCGGCACTGGATGCTTCTGCACTGCTGAGCGACAAAGAGCTGAAGGTCCTCGTGGACTTTACAAAGGAGATTCGCATGGCTGCGTTCTTGGACCACCCGAACGTTGTCCGCTTCGTTGGCCTCTCGTGGCGGACACTGCCCGACCTGTGCATGGTCTCAGAGTTTGTTGCCCTCGGTGACCTTGCCCACTTCTTGGCTCAGCCCAGTGGCAAGAATCTCACGTGGAAGGACGATAAGCTGGCGATTGCGGCAGACATCTCGAACGCACTGGTGTACTTACATTCGCTGTCACCTGTCGTACTGCACCGCGATCTAAAGTCGCTGAACATTCTCCTGACCGACGACCTGCAGGCCAAGCTAAGCGACTTTGGACTGAGTCGGGAAACAAGTTTTGACGGCACGATGACCAGTTGTGTAGGCACGCCGCTTTGGACAGCACCTGAGGTGCTGCGCGGGGAACGGTACTCGGAGAAGGCTGATATTTATTCGTTCGGCGTAGTGCTTGCGGAGCTCGACACGTGTTTGCTGCCGTATGCATATACCCAGGGCCGCAAGAGCAAAGGCAAGAGAGACAAGGAGTGGGTGCCACTGATTGCAAGTGGACGCGCTGCGCCCATGTTCCGGCCCGATTGCCCACGCGCCCTTCGCGAGCTGGCAGCCCAGTGTCTCGATCACGACCCGAACAAGCGCCCGCCAGCCATGCAGATTGTGTACTTGCTCCGGTCAAAGATCCCGCTTACGTTGTGAATGCACCTGTTTGGTCAGGTCGCTAGTCCCCCGTCGTTCTTTGAACAGGATACACGGGTTCCAGCTTCTGCACAGATCCCATGTCGATGAACAAGTACCGAGGCTCAGCAGATACACAAGTCGAGCTGAGTGATGTGGATGAACGTGTTTGGTGAGTGAAGCAATGTAGAAGAAACTGCTGCTGGCGTGTATGATGAAGATTATTGTTGGCTGGAACTGAAATGGCTTCGAGGCGGTCTATGAATTGGCGTTGAGGCTACATTGCCAGTGTGATGTGGCTGGGCCGACCGTACAACTTTGGCAGGGATTATGTCGGGTAGCCATGGCCGGTTAGTGAGCTCAATGCCACAGTGGTAGCCAACAAGACTGCTAGTGTCGCCGCAGAAAAGGCAAATGAGTCGCGCTTGCTCTTGTTCGAGTAGGTGGGGTAGCTGGACTTTTGGATACGAAACGAAAGCTGACGACGCGAACGAGCTACGTTCGCTGATGATGGAGTTTTTATGGCTTGGATCTCTTGTACTCGAGCATCTCATCGATGGGCTTCGAACTCATCAGGCGTAGATGTGAATATGCTGACGCCTTGACTCATCATCCTCTGCCGACACTTTGGGTTGTCGACAGACACAGACCATGACACTGATGACAAGACCATTTGTCCACAGCGATGGCAGGACTATTTATTGTCGAGCTTGTTGGATGAATCGACAAACGTGGAGACGACAGCGGCAAACGAGCGTTGACTGATTACATAATTAATTGCGGTGACCGCGATGTGTCCAGGCCTGCTAGTGCCACGCCGACAAGCAGCAGGTGATGGAGTTTGCTGTTCTTGTTGGCCATTGCGTGCACAAGGGGCAGTACGATCGCAGTGCTGATCTCGATGACATCCTCAACGCAAAGTCGACTGACAGTCGAGGAAGTGTACTAGCTCTCGGCTCATAGCTGACCGACAAGAAGGTCTGGTCTGGATGTGCGGAGCGCCTCATCGGCCTCCGATGCATTGACAGCGTCTATCTCGACTGAAGTGGTGGCAAGCAAGTTACTGCGGGAAGCAGTCGCCTGCCAGCACTTGTCCAGTTGATGCTGAAATGGCCCAACGCGAACGCATCGTACGAAATGGCACGTGTTGCCAGAGTGGTGCTTTGTGGCTGGTCTCGCTTGCTGTGCTATAGCAGAGCTACAGCAGCAGATGCGAAATGCTGCCGACGACACGGGCGACGTCTTGTACCATCAACAGCTTACGGTTCCTCGGCAACGTCCGTCTGCGCAAACGCGCGCACAATGAGCTGCAGCTGATACGTTGCTTGAGCCGCCGTCGGTCGGTCTTCGGGTGCAAACGCCACACACGCTGCACCCAGTTGCGCCATCGCTCTCCATGCGCCAGAAGCAGCAGCACCAGCAGCAGCCATTGGCGTCGTGAAGCTCACGTGAAGTTCGTCACTGGCCACGAGCTGGAGAACTGCTGCAGGCGGCAGCACGCGACCGGTCTCTGTGGACGTTGCGCCCGCGTACGGCAGTGCGTGCGCGTCCAGTTCACTGAGCACAATGCCCAGCGAGAAGACGTCGGCCTTGTCGTTGTACCGGTCGCCCAGCATAACTTCAGGCGCCATCCACAAGCACGTGCCCACGCCACCGGTCAATGTGCCGTCCGTGCGCTTGCGCGCGACGCCAAAGTCCGACACTTTGGCCCGTCGATCGCTGTCGAGCAGAATGTTGTTCGACTTGAGGTCGCGATGGAGCACCGCCGGGGCGAGCGAGTGCAAGTACGTGAGCGCCTGCGCGACGTCCAGTGCTATGTGCGCTTTGTCGACGTCAAAGCCTGTGGGATGACACTCGGTAGTGGCCCACGTGACGAGCAGTGCGCGCAGGTCGCCGCCGGGCATGAACTCGGAGACGGCACAGAGGTCTGCGAGCGCGTCGTAGGCGACGCCGATGCACTGGACGACTCGCTCGTGCTCGAGCGCTGCGTGGAGTTTGACTTCGGCCAGCAGCGCGTGGATCTGGGCCACGTCTTTCCGTGCGTCGGGCAGCAGGCGCTTGATCGCCACGGGCCGGCGGTTGTACGTCCCGCGGAAGACCTGTCCAAAGGCGCCGCGACTCACGAGCGCACCGATTGTGACTTTGTCCATGGGGAGGCGCACGGCCACGATCGCCGGGTCTTGCCACAGGCCCGACGGCGGTGCACTTGAGTCGGTCCCGTGTCGGTGGTTGCTACTGCTATTGTTGCTGTTGCTGCTGTTGTTGCTGTGCGTCCTGTTGACGTGGGGTGTGATTGCACTGCAGCAGCAGCAGCAGCTTTTGTGGCTGTCATGGGACCACCAGAGTTGTTGACCTATGTGGGTCGTTGCGGACGAGTGGAGCGAGTTGGGCTCTTGTGGGTCGTCGCTGCTTTGTCCGAAGGCTTCGCGAGTACGCTCGTCAATGGGTTGTTGTACCATGCGGCACAAGGACAATGAGCGGTGGCTGGACGGGTTTATAGGATGGATTGACTGGTGCTCGGGCTCGAGAGGAGCTGCAACACGGGTGGCAATGGGCGACGTCACGAGGTAGAAACGATGGTGCAGGTCCGACATGGACTGTGTGTGCTGCAGGTCGAACACGTTGTGGAAGAGCGTTCGAGTGGTAGCTGAAGCGATTGTATCTGACGACAAGTGGGTGTCAACAGGAAGGACAGTGGACGGCAAGTCGACGTATGGCTCGAGCTCGAGCTCTTTGTGGCGTCTGCGTTCTCTGCAGTAGAGCACGAGACCGACGACGACCAACAGAGTCGACACGACACCTACGGCAGCTCCAATGAAGATCGCGTACGGCTGATCGCTGGACAGAGGGCCGTCGACAGCGACCAATTGTCGTCGAATGCTTTGGAGCATGTGAAGTGGACCAACAAACAGTCAAAGAGGAGGAGCAGCACGTTGTGGTGTCGTTGGACCACTTGGCAGATGAGCGCTGTGGTTGCCGGAAGGGCGTGAAGAGGTGGAGCTGACGTGTGGCTGCACACCCACTGAGCGATAACAGTCGAAGGCTTTCAGTACGTCAAGCTGTTCCATGATGGGATCGAGCAGGTGGAAGTGCGATATTTGTTCTGTCGCAGCTCGCAACGTCTATTTTTGATGGTGCAAATGGAGACTCTGAGGAGCTCACATGCTGAGCTCCTGGGATGTATGTCGAAACTCGAGCTCTTACAGCGTTGGAGAAATCAATAAACACGCTATCGTGTCGAATAAACGCAAAGATGACTGGAAAGGGGTATCTGCGAGCCGGGCGGTCCATGGCAGTGGCTGCATAACACACTGTCGAGATGTACTGACGCCACACGGACAAGTTTGGGTCATTTATGCTGTGCATGTCCGTGGGACGTAAAATACGGTCTTTTTCGATGATGCCTTTTCTAAGCATGCGACGATATAGAAATGTGCCAAACGGCCTTGCTTTCTTTGCATTCAGATGGTGTCGTAATGGGTGATACGAACAAGGCTTTTTTGCACGTTTCTATAGTGACAGCTTAGAAACGATATCGGCAGGAGGTCCTGTTTCCACGTATTTTTGGCGTGCGCCACATGTGACGCTGTCTGCAACGCTTGCAGTGTTTATCGACCCACTTGCTTCGTAATCCGTAGATGGTATGCTTTACAATGTGTCAGCTTCAAGTGCTTCCATCTCTGGACGTCCGATATGCGATCTTATGAATTAGAGTGCGATGACAGAGTTGCACAATGCTACACAGATGCATTCACTGCTGGACGCTCAGCTTACGGTGCAAACCTCGAGCAAGTTTGGGCTGCAATGTAGCACAGTGCTGGGGCTTCAGTATCATTTTGTACAATTTGAAGTACGAAACATCAACAGAGGGAATTCGACAGCGACATGGATCGAGTTGTGTGGAACACACACGTTGTTGCGCTCTACTCGCGACTGCAAGCAGCACGTAATCAATCAGAGTGATGCATGCAACCCACCGAGGACCAGCCAGCACAAGCGCTCCTGCACACTCGGCCGGCCCCTCGTTTGCACGTGACAGCGTATACCAGCGTATACAACTCCGCACCTTGCCGTAAAACCTCCCGTAACTTCAACCCCAGACACGACTGCTGCGCCCCACAGTCGTCCAACACTGGGGGTACACTTTATCTGCACGCAAAAGATAGCACCACGTTTCACCTGACACTCACCCGACCGCACCGACAACACCGATAGCGCGCATTATCCCGCAGTGCGCATTCCGCATTCTGCCATCTTCAACCTCCGTGACCATCACTCTGCGCCATTATGCTCTCCGCGCGCCGGTTGCTGCAGCAGCGTCACCCCCTGCCGCGCCGCCCCGCGCTGGCGCCGCTGCAACGTCGTCTCCACCAGCAACAACAACAACAACAGCAGCAGCAGCAGCAGCAGCAACAGCCCAGGGAGAAGCTCTTTGACAAGATCCTCGTGGCCAACCGTGGCGAGATCGCCGTGCGCGTCATGCGCACGTGCAAGAAGCTGGGCATCCAGACCGTCGCGATCTACTCGGAGCCCGACGTGAACTCGGTGGCCGTGCGCATGGCCGACGAAGCCGTGTGCGTCGGCCCGGCGCCGTCGAGCCAGAGCTACCTGAGCATCCCCCAGATCCTCGCGGCCGTGCAGCAGACGGGCGCGCAGGCCGTGCACCCCGGCTACGGCTTTCTCTCGGAGAACAAGGACTTTTGCGAGGCGCTCGAGGCCATCGGCGTCGCGTTCATCGGGCCTGGCCACGCCGCGATCCAGGCCATGGGCGACAAGCTCACGTCCAAGCAGCTGGCCCTGGACGCGGGCGTGCACACGATCCCGGGCTTCCTGGGCGCGATCGACTCGCCCGACGACGCCGTGCGCGTGGCGCAGGACATTGGGTACCCCGTGATGATCAAAGCCAGCGCCGGCGGCGGCGGCAAAGGCATGCGCGTCGCCTACACGGACGAGCAAGTGCGGCTCGGCTACCGCCTGTCGAAAGACGAGGCAGCCAGCAGCTTTGGCGACGACCGGTTGCTGGTCGAGAAGTTCATTGAAGACCCGCGGCACATTGAGATTCAGCTCATTGCCGACGCACATGGGAACGTCGTGGCGCTGCCGGAACGCGAGTGTTCGATCCAGCGGCGGAACCAGAAAGTCGTGGAAGAAGCGCCGAGCGTGTTGCTCGACGCCGCGACGCGCGCGGCCATGGGCGAGCAGGCGGCGATGCTCGCGCGGTCCGTGGGCTACGTGAGCGCCGGGACGGTCGAGTTCCTCTGCGACAAGCACCAGAACTTTTACTTTCTCGAGATGAACACGCGCTTGCAGGTCGAACACCCCGTGACGGAGCTCGTGGCGCGCGTGGACCTCGTCGAGCAGATGATCCGCGTGGCGGCAGGACACGCGCTGCCGAAGCGACTGCTGGACGGACCTGTGGCCAGTCACGGCTGGGCCATGGAGAGCCGCGTGTACGCCGAGGACCCCGTGCGCGGGTTCCTGCCGTCGGTCGGACGCTTGCTGCAGTACAACGAGCCCGTGCAGCTCCCGGGCGTGCGCGTGGACTCGGGCGTCGACGAGGGCAGCGACATTTCCGTGTTTTACGACCCGCTGATCTCGAAACTCATCACGTACGGCGCCGACCGCACCGAGTGCTTGGAACGCATGAAGGCCGCGCTGGACCATTACGTGATCCGCGGCCCGGGCAACAACGTGTCGTTCCTGCAAGACGTCTACCGCCACCCGCGCTTTGTGAGCGGGGCCATCACGACCAAGTTCATTGAAGAAGAGTATCCCGACGGCTTTCGTGGGGTGCAACTCACGCCGCACGAGATGGAGGACCTCCGCGTGGTTGGCGCGCTCATGCACGTGAAGAAAGCTGGCGCTAGCAGCAGCCAGAGGGCTGGCCGAGCTCGGTCCGTGTCCACGCAAGAGGCTGCACCGGTCGACTGCCTCAACCGAGACGAGCTGGAAACGGTCTCGGACCACGTGGGCGTTGTGCCTCGCCTACGCGCTCTCACTTCTGACTTGTCGTTGGACGATGTGGTTGCGCTCGCGGAGCGGAACGCCCTCGAGAATGTCGGCGTCCAGTTGTTTGTTAGCATCGATGGTCCATTTGGAGAGTCACAGCCGGTGGTTGTCGTGGAAGTCGACGTGGAGAACAGGCAGCACCGACGCGAGACGATGACGCTGGCCAGAGTTGACAAGAAGTGGCACGTCATGCGGGACGTTGACTGGTCACTCAATGGTCCGCTCTTCAAGGCGTCACACACGAAGCAGGACGGGCAAGCGAACGTGTCGTTGGCATCCCAAATGCTACAAACGCTGTCGGAGGGTTTCCGCATCCAGTTCCATGGCGCTGTGCATGACGTGATTGTGCGCAATGAGCTGGAGGCAACGTACGCCAAGTACATGCAGCCCAAGCCCACGGTCGACACGTCCAACCTGCTTCTGTGCCCCATGCCAGGCATGCTCGTCTCCGTCGCGGTACAAGTCGGTCAGCAAGTAGAAGTGGGTCAGGAGCTGGCGGTCGTAGAAGCCATGAAGATGCAGAACGTGCTCCGCGCCGACAAGAAGGGTGTCATCAAAAGCATCGCCCGAGCTGCTGGCGGCTCGCTCAAGGTCGACGAGGTCATCCTCGAGTATGAATAAACGCTGGGGCAGTCACCGGAGGACGCCATGTTTGTAGCTACTGGAATCGCTCGCGTGCGTATGTGTGTGAAGCAAGTGCGCTAAGTGCGACGGAACGGACCAAACTGTTGATACGATCGATTCAAACGATCTTCTGTGAACGTGAGGTCAGGCGCCGGCTGAGCTTTTGACTACTGGACATGGGGTAGCAGCAAACAGCAAGTGCTGCAGACGGTAGTCATTCGCATGATGCGCATCGAAGTGCAAACAATGTCTGATCCTCTAGAAGTTCTCGGATCGGGCATCTCAAGATATGCTCAGTCCCACGTGCTTTATCGCTTTTTTTGCAATCTGCTGATTTTACTCACCGTCTTTTGGAACCTGCTGCTCTCGCTCACCGTGTTTTGCCATCTCTTCTATTTCTTTCTTTCGCGACGTTTTGCACATGTCACACGTGACCGACCGCACAAGTCGCTTTGCCTCCCACTCGACTCGCGATGGAGGAGAAGAAGAAGCCCAACGCCGCGCTGCAACACACGGCGTTCGTCTCTGGTCAGAGGCACTCGCAAGGCGACGCCCATGTGACGTGGGACGAGGAAACGATCGCACTGCATGACATGGACCGCGGCACGCGCATGAAGATCGAGGAGCCCAACACGCCGTATCATTACTATGCAGAGAGTGACCAAGTGGGCGCCGTGTCGCCTGCTCGGAGTTTCTCCGGTCAGCCCTCTATGCAGGTATAAAGTACCGCATCGGCTATATAGTTATCTAGAATCCCCCATTTGGCTGTGTGTGTGTGTCTTTATCGGCAATTGGAAATAAATTACTTACACGAGGTTCCGCACCGTGCATTCTAGTGGGACGAGCTGCAAGCGAAACTACGAGACGTCGAGAACACAACATCACAAGAGTGGGCGGAGAGTGACGAAGAGAGGTCGAGCTTGACGTCGGAGGGACTGAGCTTTGGGGCGCGAGACTCGGAAGGCAAGAAGATCCACAAAGACCCGTCGTTTGCAGACAAGCGCAAGAACCATTACAATGAGTTTGAGCGAGTCCGGAACTGGAAGATGCAACATGCACTGAACGGCGACGATGAAGACGGTGAGGAGGAGGAGGAGAAACGAGCAGCTTAGGCATAGGAGGTACCGACCCGACATTGCACCTTTTTCGCTGTCCTTGGTCGCAACAAGCGTGAGGTGGTGCAGGTGTTAAGGCGGAGGGTGAGAACGAGATAAAAAGTTACTGGTGAGTGAGCTCAGCTTTGCTGATACGCCCTGAGCGTGGTCAATGGTGTGTGTAGAATGGAGTCGGAGGGTCTGCCAATCTGGTGGGGGTGCAGCAATGCAGCTACGTCGTCCGGCTCATGCCGGTCATTGACAAATTGTGTGTGTACTACCAGTCTAAACTGGTCAACGAGACATTGGTACTATCGGCGATTTCATGCATGAGACTTTGTGATCAGCACCTGCACCTGCCGACTCACGCAGAAGTGATGATTCTATCTCAACGTTTGCCGAGTTGGCGATGGACATAAATACTGTAAGGGCTTTGCAAATAGCGCGCACAATACATCAGTCACTGCAACAAGTTGTGATGTCAAGCTAACACTGTACTCAGTGGTTCGCTAGTATTGCAGCAAAAAAGCCGTTTCAAGCCCGTCGTCTGACTTCCAAGCACTTGTGCAACGGGCAGGAACGAATCCATCCTGTCATCCACGTGTGCCTTGACAACGTATCCACACCGCTCGCTTGCAAAACGCAACATTTTCTCAGCACCAACCCAGACACCGCAACCCGTAAAAAAAAGCAAAAACAACCACAGCAACAAAACCGCCAACACCGCCGCCCCTTGGCATTTGTAGCCCGAGCCAAAAAAAGCGTCTTTTTCTCCCCGCCTTGTCCGACGCGCGCTAAACTAGGACGCGCGACCTCGTTTCCACGCGTTCCCCGCACGTTCGCGCCCCCACGTCGCAGCCAGTCGCTCTGTCGGCCTTTCTCTTGGCCAATCTCAGGAGCTACGAAAGTCGCGCGCAGCACAGCACAGAGACAATAGGCAGAAACTCGAAGAAAAAAAAAGAGTGAGCGAGTGAGTGAGTAAGCGAGTGCGTTCGTGGTCATGACTCGTCCCAGCAGCTCCACAAGCAGTGCGCACCCGAGCGACCAACGACTCTGTCAGAGCTCGTACGGCACTGCCCCGTCCAGTCACGTGGCAATGGAGACCGTCCACGACGCGTTTGGTAGCGGCGACCGCGAAAAGTCGCGCCTGCTGCATCAACTCAAGACGCAACGGGGCAAAACAGGCCATGCGGGTGGACACGACGAGGGGTCCCTCGGCACGAGTGGTCACAGCCACTTGGCGCACGCCCAGGAGAACCACGTGACGGGCGGCGAATACATTAAAAGTGCCGTCTACGGCGGACTGGACGGTATCATTACGACATTTGCGACCGTCACGTCCGTGGCCGGCTCGGGACTGCCGCACGCCGTGATTTTGATCATTGGGCTCGCGCACTTGGTGGCCGATGGACTGAGCATGGGACTTGGGGACATGCTGAGCAGTCAAGCGGAAGCGGACTTGGCCACGCACGAGCGGTCGCGAGAAGTGTGGGAGTTTGACAACTACCCGGAAGGCGAGATCGACGAGATGATTGAGGTCTATGAGAAGAAAGGCGTGTCGACGCAAGACGCTCGTCTGGTGGTGCAAACGCTCGCCAAGTACAAAGAGGCGTTCATTGACATTATGATGGTCGAAGAGCTCAACCTCATGCCCGTGGACGCCAAGGACTCGCCACTGACGGGCGGCGTGATCACGTTTCTCTCGTTCATGCTCTTTGGCATTATCCCGCTGCTGTCGTACTTGGTCAACTTGGTGCCGGGCATCAACATGGGCCCCACCACGACGTTGTACCTCTCGTGCGTCCTCACGGTCGTCACGCTGTTTGCTTTGGGTGCAGTCAAGGGCCGATTTGTCGGCCAAGAGATGTGGAGAGCAGGGGGGTCCATGGCGATCAACGGCACCATTGCTGCTGCCTGTGGATGGCTCATTGGCTACTTGCTGCAGCTCACAGGCATCCAGAACGTTGGCTAAGTGGCTGCAGCATTGGGTCAATGCTGTGTTGTGCCTCCTTTGCGAGACCGACGTCGTTGGTGCATAGGATCAAGATACTACACCAAGTCCGTAACGATAGGAGCAATTGAGGGACGCATGGCTGGCCGTGCCTGAACGATCATACACTTGTTTACGCTTCGACTATGGTGTTCATGTCTGGTGCTACTGTTGTTGCTGTTGGTGGTGGTGGTGGTGACTTGACGAGCAGGGCGATTCATACACTCTCGACAAAGCCGGTCATTGCGCGAAAGACGTCGATGCACGAGACATCGAATTGGACGCTGAGCACGAGCAGCACCGCAAAGAACAGGAAGCTCATGGTGAAGAGCAGTGTCCACGGCGCGATGGGTTTCAGCACCGTTGCAAACGGCAAGTCGAGGTTGAGCAACGGAGACTGCAGCGCTGACCGGAGGACGAGGAAGTTGTGCAGACAGCCATTGTGCGAGCCGACACTCAGGATCCGTCCGTCAGGAGTCCACTGAAGATCTTCGAAACACGACGACGTTGCCTGGACTGGTCCACTGCTCGAGCTAGCTCCTGGAGGATCCGCAAGGACAGCTGGTGACGATGCATTGGGCGAAAGCGATCCACTGGTTCCAGCGGTATGCGCACTTGATGCAGCTGGTTCCTTGTCAAGGTACTCCACCGCAATCTCCTTCCAGTCGCTCATTCGCACGACTTTGATGCACTTGTCTCCACAGGTGGCGACCATACCATTCGCTTCGTGGTAGACAATCTCCCGGAGTGCATGTTCGTGGAACTTGGCACAGTACTGCTCTTGTCCGATCTCGTTCAAGTGTGTCGAGATAATGACAACGTAGCCCGATGAGAAACCTGCAATGATGTAGCCGTTGCCAAACCACTGGTACGAGACAATGTTGCCGTATCGCGCCTGAAACGCCAACTCCAGTGCGTTTTCCCGCTCGTGCAAGTCGTACAGCAGGATGGTCTTCCCGCCCATATTGACCGACAAGATGGCGTCTTTGTCCCCTCGTTTGCCGCCAAACTATAGCAAGAGCAACAGAGCACGAAGCACAACATATCGACATGATTCAATCACACGTTCCTTTGTGTACGGCAGCAATGATGTGCACGATGCTTTGTTTGTACCGTGACACTTCGCGGCGACGCTTTGATCTTGACCTGGTCTAACGTTTGCCCCGACGGCAAACAAATGGTGATTTGTCGGTCTTCAGAGCCAAAAGCAAATTTGTCCTCAAAGTTCCAGTCGCCACAGACAATGCGTCGTTTGTGCTTGCTCGCCACTTGTGTCTTCGTACCCGTTGCATGGTCGTAAATGTACACGTGGCCTCGACTCGTACCAATCGCAACCTGCACACCACCACCAACAACCGCAAAACAAGAGCAAAACAAGAGCATGAGCCACAAACGATCATCTGCCAACACATCTCGACACCTGACCCTCTACTCGCGTCCGTAGCAATGAATGATCTGTGCCTACCAACAACGAATGTGGCGACTTGGACCACTTGATAAAGGTAACGTCTTTGCTCGGCAAGGCCACAACTTGGTGCTGCTGGATCTTCTTGGGTTCCCACAGCACGAGAGACGCTGCATTGGCCTGCACAATGGCCAGAATCTCTCCACTTGCACTCCAATCGAGCAACGTGCACATGCTGCGTAGCAAGAACAAAGAAACAAAGAAAGAAAGAAAACACGAGATAATCGAGAGTTGATCCCATAAGACAACGTCGCTCGTGCGTACGCCAGGAAATGAAAAAAATATTATAACGAAAGAAATACAAACAAATGGATTAACATATATATAAAAATGGTTCCAAGAAACCCCCCCAGCAGCAGCCCCACCTCGGAGACGGTAACACGATCTGATCCACGAGTTTGCCCCGTCGGTTACAGATCTGAGCGACGCGCGACGTGCCAGAGGACGCCACGTACTTGCCGCGGGGGTCCCACGCGTACTTGATGGGTCCAGCGCCATGATGACGAGCGTCGACGGAAAAGATGGTCAACATGGTCGGTTTGGTCCTGTTCTGCACGTGCAACTAACTGTGCTGTGCTGTGTTTGTCTGCACTCGCAGAATTGATAGAGTGAGACATGAGCGGTTGGTTAGAAACACTTAGATGGCGATCTCCATAGAAAGGTGTTAGTTACTAAGGATCCAAAGTCGGACTTGTAAACACGTCTAGCAGTGTGGCTCAGAGATCGCTCGTCTTGTCGACGTCGAAGGAGTTCATCGCGACACTTTGGCATCGACGGCAGATGGCACACAGACGTTGTCGTGTACCGACGTCTCGGCACTGTTCGAATCGTAGCCGATAGACGCGTCAAAGCACAAGGCATTGCGTACTCAATTCCGAGTCGGTTGATTCCAGCGCCATGCAGCCCGTTCGGGACTGCATCGACGACAGCAGTTGGTCGGTGCAAAGTGTGCAATAGCTGTCGGGTCCGTCAGCCGACACAAAAAGTATCTTTTCGACCGCACGTTCGTGGCCAGCAGCTGTTTTTTTGCCAGCAGCTCCGTCTCGCTCTGTTGTTACGTCTGACACGCACCTGACGCGACGCCACATGGGGACACGTCAATGGCTCTCAACGGTCGGCGCGTCTCGTCGCTTTTTGCATTCGTCGCTTGCTCAACGACGCGAGCGATGCGCTCTCGTCCACACGTCTGTCGCTCCTACTGCCGCATCGACAGCGCGTGACGTGAGCGCGTTCCGAGTCGGTGTCGTCGGCTTAGGCGCTATTGGCACTATCTTTTTCACTCGATTAGGTCGGTTGGCTGCGGCCCGCAAGACTCGAGAGGGACTGCCAACGCTGTACGTCGATGCGCTGGTGAAAGCCGAGCAGTTTGATACGTGGATAGAGAACAAGATGGAGGAGGAGGAGACGGTGACGATGGAGTTGATGCAGGACGGACAAGAGACCGAGACGCTGGACTTTCAGGTGCTTTGTACTACGGATGCAGCCAAAGTCGCAATGGGTTGCAACGTGCGGGTTCGTGCACTGGTTGGACAAAGTGCAGGCGACGCTCGAGAGGATGATGACAGGCTGGACGTCTTGATGGTCACAGTGAAAGCTCACGACAGTCGAGACGTGATGCGAGCGCTGCGAGAGAAGCATTGGCACTTGTTGCAAGATGATGCGCTCTGTGTCTTGCTCCAGAACGGACTGGGAGACGAAGCAGTGCCAGCTGAGGCGAAGGAGAACCGACTGGACGATCGATGGCAACTTGCAAGCGGCGTGACGTTTGTAGGTGGACGAGTGCTGGCATTTGCAGCGGTTGAGACAAGTGGACTGGACGTTGGGAAGACGTACATTGCGCCGTTCATCGGACATGTAGGCGAGACGCAATGGCGTAAACCAGGAGACGCTAATACCGTGACGATGATGCAAAGGGATTGTCATGGCACGATGCAGATGCTCGCCGACGTCCTCGTTGCTGCAGGTTTGGAAACATTGACTTACGTGTGGTGATCACACTGTCATCGTCCTAACACTAGCGGGTAATTGACTGTCTATCAACGTGGCAGGACTGCACTGCCAAGTGCTGGACAGCGACGCCATGCAAGCGACGCTCTGGCACAAGCTGATCGTGAACGCTGCGATCAATCCGCTGGCGTCCGTGCTGGACGCGCCGAACTTGGTGTGTGGCCGCGACGTGCTGTGTGTGTTTGGCTTCCCAGCTGACATGAGGAACGTGCTGTGTCCTGTTTACAGAGCGTGGCGAGTAGCGAGAGCAGTCGTCAGTGTGTCCGTCTCGTGGTGCAGGAGGCTCTTGCAGTCGCCCAGTGCGAGCACGTTCTGTTGGATCGCACTCACAATGTACGACGAAGAGAGCTGCAAGTCGTGTCGTCCTTGAGCTGACAGCGTCCTCTGTTGCATGTGACTGGCGCAGGAACTAGCAGACGATGTCTTCGAGGTGGCTCGCAATACTGGATCCAACGTGTGTTCCATGTTGGCAGATCTGCGTCGCGAGTCCAGGCAAGACTTTTGTTTGTGCTCGCGTTGGTTGTGTTGGGCCTCACGCCTGACGTTTGTACTTGGGTTGTGGATCGTTTTTGCGTCTCGTATAGAACGGAGATCGATGCAATCACCGGACGTATTGTTGCAGGTGGAAAGCGGCACGGGATCCCCACACCGACCAACGAGTTGCTCCTTTTGCTGATCAAGGCGCTTGAAACGGAACGAGCACGGCGATCTCGATAGTTCCTGTGTTGCAACACAGCAGATGGGAACGTGCATCACAACTCGTTCGTTCTTGACGCGACTACTGAATCATAACCTTGAAGTGATGCACAGCCGCGTGGCCCGGTACCTATCGCATAGAGGTGCGTATGAACCTCCGACCAGTAGTACCAGCTCGCCACATCGGCCCACGCTTTGAATTGACAGAAGCTCGCGAATGCAGAGCATTGTAATCGAATACAGCAGTCGCTTCCCTGCCCACACATTTACTTTGCTTCTCGCGTCTCTAGCCACTTTGCCAGCGGGTCACGGTCACGACCGAACGTAGCGCTCTTGAGACGTACCGCCTCCAATGCAACATTCAGGCGACGCCTGTAGCCCGACGTGTCCTTGTCTGCCATGAAAGCCTCCACCTCTGTGGCCATATCCATGGTCTGGAAGCAAGAGACGGTGCCACAAACGATCATGCCCAGAGTCGTTGCCGAGTATTTCTTGGCCAAAACGTCCCACTTCTCTTTCACGTACTGCCATGCCACGTTGGCTCCAGCCTTGTCACTCGCCACGCTGATAAACGGGTGATGAATGCCTTGCGACCGCACATTCTCCACTGCCCACTCTAACACCTCAAGCTTTGCCGATGGATCACTCACTGACCCCATAGCAGCGAGACAGTCGTCGCGTTCCTCGGCAAAGTCGCTCTTGTTGTGCAGCTCTTGCAGCAGCTTGGCACTGGATGCATCACCGAACGCCACTTCAATGTCGAATACGGCACGACGCAGATCGCCCGAAAGGATCGCCGAGTTGCCACCAATGTATGCGTGAAAGCGTTTGTTCGCTTCGGCAATCACATCCTTGTCACCGGCCAGACCCAAGCGACGAATGACTGTTTGGCGGAACTCACCCTCGTCCGCGTCCGCTTCCTTCGCTGGGTCAGCATCCCAACGTAATTCCTTCATGACTTGTGCAAACAGCGTGCGCACGTACTGTTGAAACTGCGGGAAAAACGCTTCCTCGCTAAACAGGTTGGAATAGTATCCCATGTTGCGCGAGATCTCCTTCCAGCACAAGGACGCAGGCTCGTTAACGTATGCGCCTGTAAAGTCCAGAGCAACTGGCAGACGAAGCACGCCAGCGCGAGCTAATGCGAACGCTGAATTCAACAAACTCACACGATCCGGGACACCTAAAAGTTGGTTCGTGACCGGGAGCTCGAGCCGTTTCCACAATGCCGGAGCGTAGTTCACGAGGTAGAACCCCGTTTGGTTCGGGTTCAGCATGATCCAGCCCTCTGGTCCTGCTGGTACCTCGATCTGGCTGTTGATGTCTTCACCTGCGACCAACGGCGTCGTAACCGCCTTGGCGCTCTGCGACGACGCCGTTTTCGCGTTCCAAATCCCGAGACGCTGGACAGTGTCGCGATTTTCGGACGTGCAGAGCGTCAGGGGAATGTCCCACAGCGTATTGTCCGTACTGCGCGAGCTCGAGTCGGCAAAGAAGCGTTCCTGAGCGATCGTGCACTTGCCGTCGTCGTCTTGCGTCAACGTGAGCAACGGGAAGCCCACTTGCTTGGTCCACGTGTCCGCCATGGCCTTGAGCTTCTGTCCCGACGCTGTCTCCAAAGCTTCCCACAGGTCCTCCGTCACGGCGTTCTTGTAGCTGTTCTGGACGAGGTAGTCGCGCACGCCGTCGTAAAAGACGTCGCGCCCGAGGTACTCGGCCAGCATGCGCACGACGCTCGAGCCCTTGTGGTACGAGATGGCATCAAAGATCTCGTCGGCTTCGTCCGGATGGTTCACCACCACTTCAATCGGGTGCGACGACACCATCGCGTCTTTCACGAGCGCCGACCGCAGCGTAATGTCCTGAACAAACGTCTCCCACAAGCGCCAGCGCGGGAACAGGCTGTCGGCCGCAGCAAACTCCATGTACTGGGCGAATCCCTCGTTGAGCCAGAGCCCCGTCCACCACGTCATGGTCACGAGGTTGCCAAACCACTGGTGCGACAGCTCGTGGCAGATCGCGCGCGTGGCGTCGGCTTTGATCGCGTGGCTGCTGAGCTGCGGGTCCACGAGCAAATACGCCTCCGTGTACGTCACGAGGCCCCAGTTCTCCATCGCGCCGAGAAAGTCGGGGACCGCGACCATATCGAGTTTCGCCAAGGGATACGGCACCTGAAAGCGCTGCGTGAAGAACGCCAGCGCGCGCACGGCCACGTCCAGCGCAAACGCGCCGCGCGCGCGCTGGCCCGGCGCCGTGTAGACGGACACGGTCACGCCGTCGCTCGTCGTGCGCGAGAGCTGGTCGAACTCGCCCACGACCATCGCGACTAAGTACGTCGACATGACGGGCGTCTCGGCGAAACGCCAGACGGTCTCGAACGTCCCATACGGTCCGTCGAGCGCCGCGCGCGTCGTGTGCCGCAGCTGCGCGTTCGCGCGCGGCCGCGTGAACGTCTCCAGCACGTGCGTGTTCGACAGCGCGACGACGTCGATGTCCGTGACCATTGAGATCGTAAACGTGGCCTTGAGTGCGGGCTCGTCCCAGCAGACGAACGCCCGGCGCGCGTCGCACGCCTGGAACTGCGTGACCGCCAGCGCGCGCTGCTCGTTGCTGGCCGCCGCCGTGTAGTGCGTGCGGTAGAAGCCGCGCAGCTGGTCGTTCAGCGCGCCGCGGAACTGCAGGCGGAGCGTCACGCGCGCGGGCGCGCGCAGCGGTGTGGCAAAGTGGAACGCGACCGAGTCGTCGAGGCGGTTGTAGTGGATCGCGGTCGCTTGTTGCGTGCGCACGGGCGCAGCGTCGCCCTCGTCGTCGACGTAGACGTTGAACACGTGCAGCTCGACGGCGTGGCACGTGAGCACGGACGTGGCCTCGCGCACGTCGAGCGTCACGCGCTCGGAGCCTTCGAAGCGATAGTTGAGCAGGTCGATGCGCTCGTAGTCAATGTAGTACTTGTGCGGTACGGCGCACGACGGCAGGCGCTGGAACGTTAGCTCGGACGTCGACATGGGCGTGAAAGAGAGAGAGAGAGAGAGAGAGTGATGGTCACGTGGTGCAATGAAGCGAGGCAAGGTTGCTCTTTGTGACGGAGATTGCGGCGAGTGTGCGGCTTTGATTGTGGCTTGTTGAAGACAGCGGCAGGATGCGGCGGCGTGTGCTGGATTGATTGTGTCAAGTTGGAGGGGCGCGAGGAGGCCGGCGCGTGTTGGATCTCCGCAAAGGAAACGGTTTTGGTACTCTTGAATCTGTTATTGGCTCTTGTCTTTGGGGGAGTAGTTGCTGCCAAAGGCCAAGTCAACGACTTTGCAACGACGTGTTCATTGTTATGTAATTTTCGTTGCCAGTGTACTGTTGTGCGGAATCCACAGAAGTGATACGGAGCGATGAGCGCAAATCTCTGTGCTTGCAGAATACATAACTTATAGTATGCACACCTCTGTTTACCCCGAAGTAGACAACCGGAACTAGCGTCCCTAGTCATCGCATGATGCCAATGCTTTGTTCGGGGGAAGCCTCTCTGTATACATACTCGCCTCATGCAGCGCATGATACACGTGTGTTGTTGATGAGTGCATCGCGCTCGTTGCCCAAGGCGAGCGTCGCGTGGAAATTACGGCGCCCTTGCAGGCGACGCCCACTGTTTGTATTATCAACGTACAACTGTCAAGGAGTCGTTCACAGGAGCAGTGTTGCGGTCACGGCTCAGAAGTTGGAAGATACCGCATGCCTACGCACGCCACCGATACTATGCCCCACGTGCACATGAAAGAGAGAAGTTGCACGTCGCTATCCCACTCGTTCTATTGGCGATGACGTGGCGGATGGACACGAAACCACAACCCATTCGATCTCAATCTGATTCGCAGAATGATATACCCGCAGGTGATGTCGTACCACGACTTTCTGTATCAGATACTCTTTCTGTAACGGGGCAGCCCGTTACATGAAATTGTCACTTTAAGGAAAGTGACAATAAAGAATATAAAGATGGATATTCTTTAAAACAATATCACCAAAGTGGTGATATTGAAGGGTCGACCAAAGGGTCTGTTTATTGGTTGATATCGTGATGATATCAACTCACCAATCGCCGCAAGACGCGCGCAATGAGTGGTGACGAGACGTCACCATACATGCAGTTATATTAGTATAATTGAATTAAGTCAAACGAAGAGACAGTAGTTTAAAGACTTAATTTATTAATATAACAGTTCTACTTTTACCCTACCTACGCTTCCTCGCTTGCCACGTGTACGTCTGTCGGGGCACTCAAAACCCTTGCGTTAAGTTACGCAAGGGTGTGCCCCGTTACACCTGGTAGCACTTTGTAGTCCTTCCAAGGACCACATCATCCAACATGAACATGTTGGATGAAGAAGACACCTTTCACGCCACGCGTGAAGGGTTTACCCATTTGAGTGACATCGAATGGGGTGCGGTAGAACGAATGAGTTCTACCGTAGGCGAACTCGTCGTCAGCACCATGTTGGAGTCTCTAGACAGAGACCAACAACATGCCGCTATCGCCAAGTTCATTCAGAATGAACTTGCTCTCGAGAGGGAGAAAGTAGCCTTGCTTCACCAGCAAGGCTCTCAACAGGCCGAGCAGTTGAGAGAACTCGGTGCTCAATAGACGGAGCTGTTGAGACAGCAGCAATTCCATGCTGCTGTGGGCGGGACGGCGCATGCGCGTCGTCCCGAAGTCATGAAAGTCGACATTTCCAAGTACAGTGGAGTCCCGGAGGACTCCCTGTTACTATGGTTTGTCGAACTCGACAGAGCCCTAAGGGCTCGTCGCGTCGAAGATGAGCAAATGAAACTCACATTTGCTCAGACCCACTTGGCAGGGCGTGCCAAAACTTGGTCCCTGGGACTCGAGAGTAGCGACCCAAATGTGTTCAGGTCGCTAGATGACTTCAAGTCCCGGCTCAGACAAACGTTTGAGCCGCCACGTGCTGAGTTCAGGGATCGCTCAGAGCTCCTGAAACTCAAGCAGGGTAAGCGTGATGTGCACGCTTACGCACAACATATACGACTCCTTGCGAGTAGTATAACTGCCAACCCAGTTCATGAACACACGTTGATTACGGTGTTCATGCAAGGGCTCGCAGAAGGGCCCGTCAGGAGCCACCTGTTCCGCCTTGAGCTGAATACGCTTGAAGAAGCGATATCAGCCGCGTAACAGGAAGACTTTAGCATGAGACAGGCTCATGCTAGCTCAAACTCTTACCGTCCACCGAGACGACAAGAGATCGGAGGTCCAGAACCAATGGACCTCTGCTATGTTGAGAGCGAGAGACCTCGCTCTACAAACAACAAGCGATTGCAGAGGTGCAATCGCTGTCAGAAGTTAGGGCACTACGCATACGAGTGTAGTGCTCCACGCCCAGTACCAAACAGTATTGAGCGAAATGGACAACCTTTTGCCAGAAAGGGCAATGGGCGTGGGTCCAGCGCTGTTGCGAAGCCGCAACAGCGAGACGGACCATCAAAAAATGGTCGGGGTCAGTAGGGGCGGAGCGCCCTACTGATCCAGCAACCTCAAGAGAATTTGCAAATCTCTTGACGAAAGTTGCTCCAGATACACAATCATTGTGTGTCTCTGCACCTGGTGATGACGTTTCGCTCATCACCTTGAAGTTGGAAGCGACAAATGATTTGTCGCTTCGTGCCCTAGTAGACTGTGGGGCGTCGAACAACTTTGTTCGTCGCCAGTCACTAGAGGGTCGTAGGCTCAAGTTCGTTGAGCGCGACATTCCCCTCACAAGGATGACGGTGCGCCTTGCAACAGGCGCATCGATAACCGTTGAGAAACGTGTAGTAGGAATCCACTACACGTTAGAGGGCGAACAGTACGATGATGACTTCATCGTACTAGATCTGGATGACAAATTTGATATAATCCTGGGATTACCTTGGCTCAGAAAGTACGAGCCAAGAGCAAGCTGGCAGCATCGATCCGTGAAGATGCCTGCTGCTTGTTCATCAGATGGCCATCTGATGAACATCTTGGAGCGTCCACAAGCGTGTGGATGTTCTGCGAGTGAGTGCGATGGCCTCACTTGCGGTATGGTCGTTAGCACGACTGCACAAGATCACAGTGTAGTTGATCACTACACTGTGGAGCAATCTCCCGGCGGCTGTACAGAAGTACAGGCTGCGCCGAAGGTCCACCACTCGAATAAGTCGAGTGGACCGGGACATGGATGCATGCCTAGCGGGCAGCATCTTAGCAAGAGTAAACAGGTTGCCCACAAGCGGCAACACAGGTATCCTAGGTCGACCAGAGAGTCGACCGTAGAGGATCGGTTCCCGACTGTGGTTGCACAGCCACAGTCGGAAGACGTCGAGGGAATAAGTCCCCACGTACTTGAGGAAGGAATTCCTCAAGAGTCGCTTGCTGAAGGATTAGGCCCTCAGCAACCTGTGGAAGCAAGTTCCCAGGAAGAAACCGAGACGTTGAACGTCTTGGTTAATGACGGATCAGGCGTAGGCGCTTATACGCTTGATCTGATTGTGCCTCCGAAGTTGACTTCGGAGATAACTCAGTTGCCAACGCTAGAACCGAAACGGTTCTTGCGTGATCTGCGTAGTGGCAAAGTCAAGCAGATCTGCATACTCGTCACAGAGGACGAGTATGTGACCGACATTCGGTCGGCAACAGTATTTGCTGAGAACGAACGGGTTCTCAGCAGCTCATCGATGGACGAAAGTGTTCTCGATGAGAAGACTCGGATTGAGCGATACGCGTCCCAATCCTGGGAGTCACTTCAGGCAAATCCTTTGTATAAGGATTTGATCAAATTCAAGGATGTGTTCCCTGAATCCGTACCTTGCGAGTTGCCTAAAGACAAAGACACTCGACACGGGATCGAGCTCAAACCGGGCTCGAAGTACTGTGTCATGAAGCAGTGGCCACTCCCTCGTGAACAAGTACTAGCGATCGAAAAGTTCTTTGCCGATCGCTTAGCAGCGGGCCATGTGAGGGAATCAACATCCCCTCACAGCTCTCCGACCTTCTGTGTGCGAAAAGCCACAGGAAAATGGCGGATAGTGCACGCATTCTACAAATTTAATGCTGCAACGGTACCGGCTCAGACGCCGATACCGAGGGAGGACGTAATCATAGATGGTATGTCAAGGAGTAGCATCTTTTCGTCAATGGATCTGATGGATGGATTCTAACAGATCCTCATGCGTGAACGGGACATCCCGTACACAGCAGTGAGCACCCCCAGCGGTATGCTGTGGGAGTGGCTAGGTATGCCACAGGGGCTGAGCAATGCCCCTGCTACTTTCAACAGATGTGTTACAAATCTTTTGAGACCGGTGCGAGACTTCGCACCGAGTTACTTCGACGATGTGTTCGTCCATAGCCCGGCTATGGACGGAAAGACGGACGTTGGAGTTCACAGAACCCACGTTCGTCAGGTCCTTCGACTTATGCGCAAGCATAAGTTGTACGCAAACCTCAAGAGATGTATGTTCGCGGCCAGCGAAATACCACTTCTTGGGTGCATCGTAGGTAAACAAGGCGTACGCCCTGATCCCGAAAAGATCAAGGCGATCACCGACTGGCCAGTGCCAGTCGATGTCAAGAGACTAAGGAAGTTCCTTGGTCTTGCGGCGTACTTGCACAAGTACTCGCGCAACTACGCCGAGATGACTGTTCATCTTTCTTGCTTGCTCAAGAAAAATGTCAAGTGGTCATGGAACGCTGAGTGCCAGCGTTCCTTTTAAGGTATCAAGCGGAGCTTGATGCAATCGCCGATCTTGGCGATTGCAGATCAGGACAGACCATTTCATGTGGTCTGTGACGCCAGCGATTCCGCAATCGGCTGTGCGTTAATGCAGTTCGATGCAGATGGCGCGGAGCGCGTCATCTGATATCAGTCGCGTCAGCTGCAAGCAGCTGAGCGTAATTACCCAGTGCATGACAAGGAACTCCTTGCCATGAAATACGCACTGGCTAAGTTTCGCGTCTATCTCTTGGGAGATAGACCGTTTG